ATGTTGATAGTGACTATAACCTAGACAGCTGGATTTTTCCCACTATCGGTAACGAGCTCAGCAAATGGAAGACTGAAGAACTTATCTCAATATCCTTTAGTTAGAAGTAAATGCTACTTTCTATTTTCTTGCTTTTAAGATTTGATTATGTAATTTTAAACAATAACTTTAAGCCTTGTGTTTTACCCGGGGCACAGCGTTTCATTTGTTAGGGTTATCATTTTATTAACATATTTTCATTCAATAAATCATTGGATGTTGCGCATTCAAATTTTGCGCTCTTTGTCTTTCTTTTAATTTACCACTTTCAAATAGATATATGTTCTTACACACACCTACACGACAAATTACAGATCCACATCCAATCTTGATCCCATTGTTAACAATTCTTCTATTGCCACTTATGACTTTGAGAATCTGATCTACCAAGCTGAGGATGAAGGTGAGGAATATTGTGAAATACCTGGAGAACTTGACATACTATTAGTGTAAGAGGAAAAGGCTATACAACCGCATGAAGAGCCAGTTGAGGTTGTAAACTTAGGTACAGAAGCAGACATGAAAGAAGTCAATATAGGTGCCAACCTAGAGGACAGTTTCAAGAACAGGTTAATCCAGATGTTGCATGACTATGTTGAGATCTTTTCTTGGTTGTACAAAGACATGCTAGGGATCGATACTGATATTGTGGTTCACTGTCTATTGATGAAAGAGGGTTGTTCTCCAATAAAGAAGAAGGTTCATCGTATGCGTCCCGGGATGTTCAATAAGATTAAGGCTAAGGTTATGAAGCAATTCAATGCAGGTTTCTTAGTTGTTACATCCTATCCTCAATGGGTTGCAAATGTGGTTCTGGTACCTAAGAAGGATGTCAAAGTGTGTATGTGTGTAGACTACAGGGATCTGAACAGGGAAAGCCCCAAAGATGACTTTCCACTGCCGCACATTGATGTTCTGGTCGCAAAACACCACTCAACACAAGGTATTCTCCTTCATGGACGGTTTCTTGGGTTATAATCAGATCAAGATGGAACCTAAAGATATGGAGAAAACTAACTTTGTCACACAGTGGGGAACTTTCTGTTACAAGGTTATGCCTTTTGGGTTGAAGAACACCGACGCTACATATTAGTGTCCCATGGTTTCCTTGTTCCATGACATGATTCATCACAAGATAGAGGTCTACGTTGACGACATGACAGCCAGGTCTTAGACTGAAGAAGAACATCTTGACCATCTACACAAGCTGTTTGAGAGACTGAAGAAGTATAAGCTGAGGTTAAATTCGAACAAGTGCACCTTTGGGGTGAGGTCGGGTAAGCTCTTGGGTTTCATTGTTAGTCGTAAAGGTATTGAAGTTGATCCCGCCAAAGTCAAAGCTATTCAAGAAATGCAAGCTCCCCGTATTGATAAGGAAATCATAGGTTTATTGGGACGACCGAATTACATTGCCCAATTTATTTCTCATTTGACTGCTACTTGTGAGTCGGTCTTTAAGTTGTTGAAGAAAGATCAGGTAGTGAAGTGGAATAATGATTTCTAGATAGATTTTGGAAAAATCAAGGAGTATCTCTAAGAACCTCCAATCCTGATGCTTCCAGTTGAAGGGAGGCCTCTAATCATGTACCTAACAGTGTTGGAAAACTAAATAGGGTGTGTACTGGGCCAGAATGACAAGTCTGGTCGAAAAGAGCATGCAATATACAACCTTAGAAAAAAATTTACCGACTGTGAAACAAGATACTCACTGCTGGAGAAAACTTGTTGCGCTTTGGCATGGGCTGCTCGCTGACTAAGATAATATATGTTGACCCATACTACTTTGTTGATCTCTAAGATGGATCCTATAAAATACATCTTTGAGAAGCCCGCTCTCTCCGAAAGAATAGCCCGATGGAAAATGGTCTTTGACATAATACGACATTCATTACACCATTCAGAAAGCAATTAAAGGGGGTGTATTGGAAGATCATTTGGCTCATCAAGCTGTAGACGACTACCAGTCTATGAATTTCGAGTTCCCGGATGAGAATATTATGCTAGTTACAGATTGTGAAAAACCTGGACTGTATGAAGGACCCAAGTCAGGATCCCGATGGACTATGGTTTTTTATGGAGCTTCCAACGCGCTTGGTAGTGGAATTCACGATGTGATTATTTCTCCCAAAGATTTCCATATGCCATTTACTGCTAGAGTATGCTTTAACAGTACCAACAATATAGCCTAATATGAAGCATGCATCATGGGTATTAAAGCTACTATTGATATAAGAATCAAGTTCTTTGATGGAATGGGATACTAAGCATCCAAACCTCATCCCTTATCTAGAGCATGTATTGACATTAATTTCATACTTCGAGGAGATCACTTTTGAGCATTTCCCACGAGAAGAGAACCAGTTGGCAGACGCATTGGCTACCATGTCATCTATGTTTAAAGTTGGGTGGGACAACGAAGCACCTCGAATTACCATTGAAAAACTAGACGAACTGACACATTTCTATGAAGTTGATACTGATGGAGTAAAAGAGAAGCCTTGGTACCATGAAGTGAAAAGATACCTCGAGGCTCAGGAATATCCTAAAGGGGCATCTATCAATGACAATAAATTTCTACGGAGGTTCTCTACCAAGTTCTTTCTTAGCAACAAAATTTTGTACAAACGTAACCACGATTCGACCCTGCTTCGTTGTATGGACAAGAAAGAAGTTGAAAAGATTATGGAAGATATGCAGGAAGGAGTATTTGGTACTCATTCCAGTGGACATGTAATGGCTAAGAAGATTATGAGAGAAGGTTATAATTGGTCGACTATGGAAACTGATTATCATCACCACTACAGAACTTGTCACAAATGCCAGATTTACGCTGACAAGGTACACATGCCTCCAGTTCCTCTGAACATCTTGACTGCTCCTTGGCCATTTGAGATATGGGGCATTGATATGATTGGAGAAATTAAGCCTACTTCTTCTAACGGACATTGTTTCATCGTTGTCACTATTGACTATTTCACAAAGTGGGTCGAAGCAGCTTCATTTTCCTCCGTTACAAATAATGTTGTGGCCTAGTTCATTAAGCATAACCTCATTTGTAGGTATGTGTCATACCCCAATTTTTGACCTAAGATCCCTGCTTCATTTGCATTATTTTTCATACACATCAAGGTCACAGAATATTGTAGGTTTTGAACGTTTCACTGTCAAGCTTTGACTGTGTAGAGATTATCGAGTGTTGTGAGAATTTTATGAATGACTAACCACTAATCAAGCACGAAGTGCATGTTTTTCTATTTTATTTTCATGTGCAGAAAATAGGTCTGAAAGAAGAGCATTAGACGTTGTACGTCGATTAGGATTTCGAGTCTCAGAACAGAAATGCTGTCGTTCATTAATTTCCAAAAGACTGGTTCATCAAAGAATTTCAGAGAATTGCGCATTTATTTCCACACTCTGTCCAGCAAATGGTCTTCATTTTTCTCCAAATATTTTTCAGGAAGAACAGTCAAAATTCTACCGGCTTTGGTTCATGTGTGTTTCACATTATTCTAAAATACAAGAAAAAAAACCAAGTTATACCGTCATTTTCGATTTCTTGAACCATAAGTCATTTGCAAATTTTCTCACGATGCAGATTGAATTTCCCCGAAATGGGATAATTAAATTCAAAATTGTTCTAGAAGAATTTATTCGGAATATTTGGAATTTTCTTTATTTGAATCCAAGTGATAATTAAAGAGGAGCTATTCAAAAGTTTTCATCCAAGAATATTTATTTATCACATGAGATATTTATTCAAGTTTATTTTTGTGATTATTTTGGAAGATCTACATCATGGTTATTTAAATACATGAAGCATTATTTCAAGAAGTTAGTGAGGAATTCTATTTAATTACATGAGGAATTTTATTTGGTTACAAGATTAATCCATATGATTATTTTGGAAGATCTACATCATGGTTATTTAAATACATGAAGCATTATTTCAAGAAGTTGGTGAGGAATTCTATTTAATTACATGAGGAATTTTATTTGGTTACAAGATTAATCCATGTGATTTATTTGGATTTCTATTACAAAAGTGCAAGATTAAAGTCCAAGACTTGCATTATTATTTTTTCTTCATTCAACAATTCATCCAAGTATTATTCCATTATTTCCCAAATCTAAATGGAAGATCTTGAATTTTTATCAAGATATATCAATATTCATGTTTATCTGAAGATTCAAGATTATTCATCACTACCAAAGAATGGAAAATATATTGAAGAATGCATATTTATTCAATGTTACAATTTATTGGAATTTATTACAAAGTTGCAAGAAGCTACAAGTTTATACAAGATTTATTTTCAACATAAAAAAATTCAGCAAAGTGCTAGTGCAACCCATGTTTGCAACCTTTCTTCAAGCCCATTTTGTTGCATTTTTGTTGGTCAAATAATGCTCTAAATAACCTGAAAAAAACAACAAAGAGAAATGTTGTGAAATGCTACAAAACAGTAAAAAAAACAGCAACATACAGCAGCTCCAAATGCTGCCAAAAACCTGCTCCAACCTGCATCAATGTAGCAGCAATTTGTATCAAAATGGCTAAAGCAATTTGTGAGAACAAAGTATAGAAACAGCTTGCCAAAACAGTTTGAATTTCTACTGTTTTCCCCCCTCAAATCCTCCACACTCCACTATAAATAAGAGCTTTTGTCAATACAAAGGAGGAGGAAGAAAAATTCAGCAGTAAAAGAAAAAACAGCAAATTGGTGTTTGTTCTAGAAAATTCAACAAGTAAGAAAAACCAGAAAAAATATAGTGTTGTTCTAAAATTTTCAGCAAGAGTGAAAACAGAAAATTAGTGTGGTTCTAAGAAAAATCCAGTAAGGAGAAAAAAATAGAAAAGTCAAGGAAGCTTACCATTTTTATTAGAAGCCCCATCGGAGAGGCTACGATAGGTATATTCTTTTCCTCTTCTCTATCTATTATTGCTCTACTGTTGCATATGTTCATGCTTGAATCATTTGCTGTACCATTTTTCTTTGCCATGTAATATTTGCTTTATAATTTTTTTTGTTTTCTTGTACTGTATTTGAGTTGAGTTGCTGCCTAAATGTTAATATTTAAACATGTTAGTATTCATAATATCGATAATAATAATAGGTGTAATAAAAGCTTACTTTGCTGTCCCAAAAACTTGTTTATCACTTGTTGTCCCAACTTGTTTAGAGCTTGCCCAAAAATATTTTTGCTGTCCCAAAAAAATACCTTTGCTGTCCAAAATATTTTTGCTGTCCCAAAAACACCTTTTGCTGTCCAAAAAAAACTGGGTTATCCTTTTTGCTTTACAAAATCTCAAAGTCCACAAAATACATTGCTGTTACAAATATTAAAAATATATATTGCTGTTCCATATTTAAAAAAAATATATGTTGCTGTTATAAAAAAACTACATTGCTGTTCCATATTTTAAAAAAAAATGTTTTGTTACAATATTAAAAATATATATTGCTGTTCCATATTTATAAAAAAAATGTTTTGTTACAATATTTACAAAAATATATTACTGTTCCAATATTTTAAAAAAATAAGTTTTGTTAGAATATTTAAAATATTTTGCTATCCCATATCAAGATCTAAAAATATTTTTTTTGTTGTTTTAATCTAAATAATAATAAAAAAACCATTTATTCCATTATTTTAAAAAAAACATTTTTGTTCTTAATATTTTAAAAACCATTTGTTCTAATAATAAATAAAAAAACCATTTATTCCATTATTTAAAAAAAAACATTTTTGTTCTTAATATTTTAAAAACCATTTATTCTAATAATGAAAAAAAACCATTTATTCCATTATTTTAAAAAAACATTTTTGTTCTTAATATTTTAAAAACCATTTGTTCTAATAATAAAAAAAAACCATTTATTCCAATATTTAAAAAAAAACCATATACAGTTCAAAGTCCAAAAAAATTTTGCTATTACAAAGCCAAAAATATTTGTTGTTACAAATGTAAAAAAAATATTTTATTATATCAATAAAAAGCCATAGTTTCTCCAAACACTTCCAAAACTAACTTCCACTGCGAAGCTTCCGGAGTTTCTCTCACTACGGTGAAAAAAAAAACTCAGGGAGAAACTCAAATATCAACAACATTACCGGTACCGGGGTTTGTTTCAGTCTTGGTTTTCCGCCGTTGTCTGCTCCGGCGTGTGGTACCGGAACTGAAATAACAGTTGAGGATGCGAAGAATTCTGAGAGCTTAACAAATGGAGAGGGTGAGGGAAAAACTGAGAGACATTCCGGAGAATATGATTTGTTACTCGGAGTTCTTGCGGATTTGCTTTGAATCATCTCAAAATCATGATCAAGGTGCTGAGTTTGCAAGGATATTGGATAGATCTGTAGAAAAGAGAGGATGGGGGTTTGATGGCGTGAAAGGAAGAGAGGGGAAGAGGTTGATATGCGTATGAGAGGGGAAAGGACGGATCTATGGCGTGAGAGAATAGGGAGAAGAATTCGGATCTAAGAGAGAGAGGAAGATAGAAGATATGCCATGGAAGAGAGAGAGAGAGAGAGGAGGGCACTTTTATTTTGTGAGAAATAGGAAGAAGGATTAGAACGTGTTTGAGAGAGGAAGGAGAACAAATGTTGTTTTGTTTTTTTACTCACCTTTACTCTTCTTTTCTTTATTTTATGGAAAACAAATATAATATCTTACTTCTTTCTCTCTTTCCCAAAATTAATAATAATAATATAATTTCCTTCTTTTTATCTTCCCAACTAATAAAATATAATAAATTTTGTTTTTCCCCCATGTCATGCACAGCAGCCGCGCAGCGCTCTTAGTGCATTAGGGTTTCTACATTTTCTCTTCCTTTTCCCTCTTGACCCGGATGGCTCATTGGGCCTGTTTCTAGTCCAATTCCAATTCCAATTTTTCTTTATGTTTTATTTGAATCATGTTAATTAATGAATAATAATACAGCTCAATTGGCAAAGGTGTTTATAGCAATCTAAGTGCCCTGGGTTCAAGTCCTTGTTGGGTCACTTTTCTATCTTTTATTTCTTTTGGCCATATTATTTAACATACTTAATAATATTAGTTTAGTTTGCTGTATAATTAGTAACTATTATAAAAAAACATAAAAAACATTTAATTAAAATTTCACCTTTTATTTAATTTTGTAAACATACTATTATTTTTTATTTTTGTGTTGTTGTTTTATTTAATTATTCAAAAAAATACATGTTTCATGATTTAATTTTTGTTATGTGTTTAAAATTTGTGAGTTCGTAATTTAATCTTCATGTACTTTTTGATTATTTATTTAATCGTTAAAATGCATGCTAGTATAATTTAAATTTCATTAGTTAATTGTTTAATTATAATTTTAATTAATTGATCGTTAATCCGCATATCTTTCGTCCGTTTCAATCCAAGGGAATCGTTTAAATTTTTGTCGACTTCATGTCATCAAACACATAGCGTGAATATCCTCATTCATCTTCCGTTTATTATTTTGTTAAAAACTTAAGATAATTTTCCCAAATATTCAACTTTTCAAAACTCACACCTTTTAAGTCAAAACTTCGATGTTAGGTCGTCGTATTTTCGAAAACTCGTCCATACCCATTTTCGGCCAAAACAATTCATTTTTAATCAAACAAACTTTTTTTACTAAACAGATATTTCAAAAGGTTCCTATAGAATACTATAGATACATTGGGTGCTAATACCTTCCCATTGTATAACCAACCCCCGAACTCTAGACGTCTTTTCAAAACGCCTTGTATTTTCATTACTTTTAAAAGTATTATTTTACATTGCATATTTTAGGGTTTTATTTCGCTCTTTTCCCTTTTCCCTTGGAAATAATAAAGCGTGGTGGCCACTCTTGCTTTTGTGAGACGAATTAATTAATAGTTCGATCTCCAATTTACCCCGCTACATTTTTTATCGCTACAGTATGGTATCCCTGAAAGGATTATCACTGATAACGGTACCAATCTCAACAACACCATGATCATGGAACTCTGCATGTAGTTCAAGACCAGGCACCACAATTCTTCTCTATATTGACCGGAGATGAATGGCGCAGTGGAAGCCTCCAACAAGAACATCAAGAAGATCATACAAAATATGACGGTGACATATAAAGATTGGCATGAGATGTTACCATTTCCTCTTCATGGCTATCGCACTTTAGTATGGACATCAACTGGGGAAACCCCATTCTCTCTAGTCTACAGTATGGAAGTTATCCTACCCATCAAAGTCCAGATTCCTTGTCTGAGGATTATGAAATATGCAAATTTAGACAAAGATGATTGGATTCAGACTATGTTGGACCAGATAAATTTGATCGACGAGAAAAAGCTTGCGGATGTCTATCATAGTCAGATGTATCAGAAGTGTATGATCAAAGCCTTCAACAAGAAAGTCAAACATAGGGTATACCAAGCCGACGACTTGTTAATAAACCACATCACCCTACCACAAGGTGGTCCTAGGGGCAAATGGACTCCCACATACGAAGGGCTATTTCTAATCAAGAATATATTTTCTGGCGGTGCTAGGATACTTACCACCATGGACGGTGAAGATTTTCCGCACCATGTGAATGTAGACATAGTTAAAAAATACTACGCATGAAAGTGACCTGCTAGGTTGACTGGCCTAGGAAAAAATAAGGGCATCCAGACGAACCAAAAGGGTTCGGTAAAAAATTAGGGATATATATAAAGATTGTGCACCTGTCAAGTCGAAAACCTGAAAAGGCGGCTTGGGCAAAAATGGGTATCCCGGTGGACTGAAAACCCAAAAGGGCAGTCCAGGAAAAGTTAGGGACTAAAGCGTATGATTATGTCCCGTTGGACCATTCACTTACAAGGAGCTCTGTTACCGACATCAAGTTCGAGTGGTACAGATCAACTCAGTCAACTTCTTCCGACAGTAAGGGATGAGATGCTTGAAGATATAGGGGCAATAGCGGAGTTGAAACTCGATGGGATCATTTCCACATGCTATTTTTATTCATTTTACTTCGGACTTTGTTCCATTTTTACGATGATTTCCTCTTACTAGGATCTTTGTCTCTTTGTACAAAACGCCTATTTATAGGCAAACTTTCAATACAAAGTCAATTTCAAAATTCAAATTTGTTTTACTTTCTCTGTTTTGTTTACAAAAACGTCCAATGACAAAACTGAATGAACATATGCATATGAATATGATTACTGTTAACAAATATGTGCATAAAATCAAGGATAAGCATTTACTACAGACTCTAGGAGTTGGGGTAGCATTCAAGTCATCCACAAATCCCCACAAGAAAAATTCCCACAGAGTTGTCTTCACAAGCTCATGCCCGACAGAGATACATTCCCCAGCAAGTCAAATATGCCTTCAGACGGGAATTGGGGTATCTTCCAGCAGTTCACATGATCATCTCCCCCAGTAGGTCCCCCAGCGAATAAGAAAGTTTGATCATTTCCCCAGCATACGGTGGAAACTTCCTCAGCACAGTTCATAAGAATTTAATTCTCCACCTAAGTTTATTTCTCCAACACTGCAAAATCCCATGTGGAATTCTCTTCTCCAACAAGGTTTATTTCCCCAACAGGGTTTATTTCCCCAACAAAGTTCATTTATCTGATTACTGCAAATCCTCGGCAAGATTCTCTCCTCCAACAAAGCATAGCCAAGATTGCTATCCCTAGAGAGTTGCTATGGAATCTGAAACCAGACCAGATATCATTTAACTTTGTCCTCCCCAGAAGAGTTTGTGTCCATATCGGAAACTCGATCAAACAGCGCCTCAGAAGGTTATCCATCTCTTTTATCCCCAATCAGGGTATACAAGAACTAAATTCCCCAGTAGAGCGATGAACGACCAATGTTCTTGAAATCTTCTATCCCCAAGTAGAAGTTAAACATTCCCAGCGGAGTATCCTCAAAGAAGAAAGCAGGAATCCCCAATGTAGACATTCTAAACAAGATTGAACATTCATATTCTTCATCCCCAGCAACAGTCAGGGATTTATTTTCCCCAGCCAAAATGGTTACACAAAGCTACCAATATGCTTCAACGACATCTTACATCCATACATCATTTACAAAATGTCATATCATATGCATACGAAACACATATAACACACTCTCATTTACTTTGAGAATATCATTATGTTATGCATTACATACATCATTACATTGCATAAATACTAACTTTATCTTTTCAGGTAAAGTCTACGAACAGACGAATATCATCAACAATTTTCAAATGGGTCAAAGATTAATTCCCGAAACAGGACGAGGAAACTACCTATATGACCAGGTTATAGGTTAATTCCCGAAACAAGCTGGGGAAACTATCTGTACGACCAGGCGGTGTGAATTCCCAAAACACGATGGGTTTACCAACAAAAAAGTGGGTCCTAGATTAATTCCTGAAATAAGACGGGGAAACTATCTATATGACCAGAAAAATATTAATTCCCGAAACATGACGGGGAAACTATCTTCATAACCAGTCAAAGATTAATTCCTGAAACAGGAACGGGAAACTATTTATATGACCAAGCGGTATGAATTCTCGGAACAGGATGGGTTTAACAACAAAAACAAATTGTAGATCAATTCCTGAAACAGGATGGGGCGACTATCTACATGACAAGCATTTCCCTCAGAGACTAAATCTGAAAAGCATTTCCCTCAGAGACTAAATCTGACAAGTAGCTACTAAAGCACTTTCCCCAAAGAGTCATCCTGAAAATAATTCTTCAGATACAGTCAAGCATAGACTTATTTTGATACTCCTATCAAAAACCACTTTGATGGCATCTATAAGCCCATCTCCAACGATATTCTGTCACTTCTCCGAATGACATCTTTAACCCGTTAAAGAAATATTATCAACCAACGGTGTTACATCCGTGCACATGAGAGTGAAAATTTCTGGGTACTTAAGTGTTTAATCCTCTTCTACCTTCAGATTACAAATGGCGGGCATGCCAATATAACATTCAGATCAAAAAGGGCATAAAATCCGCATGCATGCACATTTGTTTCTTGTTTTTTTTTTGTTGCAAATTTGTATCTTTATTTTCTTCATGCTTCAATGCTTACTAATGATACTGACTTCTTTCTGAGGTTTAATAGTCCAGGAATAGACCATCGTGTGAACCCCATGCTATCGGAACCATGAACTACCATGTTCATACCGATCCATGCTATTTTTGTTATACCTTACAAAGCAGCGCGAATCTGCCAAAAACAATGGTCCCATTAAACTCGCATGGCTTGATTTAGGGGGGTATGGTCCCAGGGAACCTCTAATATTTGTTGTTTTTCC